ATTTTAGAACAATTTTCTTTTCAAAATGTGGATGAAATGTTTTGCTTTTTATGTATTTTTTATGTATTGTTTTTGATTTGATAACTTTGAACTAAACATATTTTCTATTAGCTTCAGATCTTGATCAAAGTTTGGTACCCAGTTCATAGGAGTGCTTATATTGATTTTCTGACATCTTGTTTTCTGTAAAGATTTATTGGTAGGTTTGCAAATGTGTATCAGACTGTGCAATCTCTCCATGAGTTGGTTTTGAAACCCAGTAAGGGATTCTGTGATACATTACCAAGGATATTATTACAAGATAAATCATTTGCTTCATTGAACACATACAACAATGCATATTTCCACTGAGATCAGTGACCTTTGATGTGTATCACCAGTGATCAGTCAAGTAGAAACAGTCGAAATATTTTATCAGTTTTTCTCAATTTTTGCATGATATTTTCATACAGGACATCTGTTGTTCAAACTCAGGGAAGACTTTACACTGATGAACAAGGTGACCAAGTTTGATGAAGTTTGGAATAGAATTAGTAAAGTTATCATGCACACAATAACAATTATTAACGACGACGACAACGACGACGACGACGACAACGCCGGACAAAATTTTTCCCTTAATATACCTTTCCCTTCCATCTTTGATGGTACGGGCAAGGTAAAATTATCTTGAATATGAATTTAGTGATGCATTAAAGAATAATTATGTAAATATATGATATTTAGAACCTCTATACCAAATAGATTCAGCGCCTTAAAAGGTATAAAAAATATGTGATTTTGTGTGAGTGAGATAAAGGAGTGATTTATGGACACGAGCAGTGTTACCTGAGAACTTTGAAATAAGTGTAATTGCCAAATCCATCATTGGACCACCTAAAATAGATAGTTACAGCAAAAAAAACACAACAAGAGAACATTTCTTTTAGATATGTTACCAATAAATCACAAAACAATAATATAACCACTCATAGCAAGCTGGTGAATTAAAAAAGATGACATGCATGGGAAAATGATGAAATGACCAGATATAATATGATCAAATAAACCAGGACAGTCACTTCAAATCAATAAACTTGTGTTCAGATTCATATCAAGCAGGTATCGGTTTGTAAGTTAATAGCAGGTATCGGTTTGTAGGAGAGTGGTGCACGTTATTCATTGAAACAAGCAGAACAAGCTGAATAAACAATTTATCTGTTAACTCTAAATGTATCTAATGTATTCAGTGTCTATAGTACTCTTGGTACCATATTTCTGGTGTGTTAAGTGTGGTAAGTTTTATATGTGTATTGTGTCTGGTACCCTTCATATGTGTATGATACCAGATATCATACCTTTAATAATGTGTCTGGTACCCGTTATCAAATGTGCCAAGTGGTACCCTCTCTATGTGTATGGTGTTGGGTACCCATCATATAATGTGTCTGGTACGTATTCTCTAAATAGTGTGCCTGGAGTCTGGTACTCTATAAAATGTGCTGGGTATCTTGTATTTCATGTGTCTGGATTCTGAAACCCTGTAATCATGTATGGAGTCTGATACTTCTACAATGTGTTGGTACTCTATGTGACTGACATCTGGCACCCTCTACATGTGTGTAGATGTGTCTGGTACCACTATATAATGTATCTCTAGGTGTATAGGACCCTCAATGTAACCTATAGTCAAGTATGGAGCGTATTCTCTACATGAACCATCTGGTACTCTCTATATGATATGTCTAGTGTGTCGTAGTATCTATACATCATGCTTGGTATCTGGAACCAATAAAGTTTTTCTGATACCCTATTAATATGTCTGAGATCAAGTTCTTTTTGGCACGTGCCGACTCGGTCCCGACTGTTCACACACAAGTTTTGGTATGTGCCGACTCGGTCCCGAGTCTCGGCACGTGCAGAGATCTCTAACGTGAATGCCACTATACTATATTATACTACCGGTATACATGTACTATGTCTGGTACCCTGTACTTAATGTCTGGTATGTACCCTAAATAAAGTATTGCCTGCAGGCATTATATAATGTGTATATATTATATACCTGGTATATGATACTCTTTACAAAATGTATCTAGTATTCTTAATGTAATCTATATGTAGTATGCTCGCTCTACCTAATGTGTATAGTACCCTGTATTTAATGTGTATATGATTTGTTTGGTAACCTATATGTGATATGTATATCTTTGTATCTGTAGTCTAGAACCTCCATACATGTACACAATAGTGCACACTTTTCTTAACTTGAGTCATCACTGTGTGTCTACTAATATGTCTACAACCCGGCTATACTTACTTGTATCTCGTAGTATCTGGCTGTGTTTTACCACTAGTCTTGATGTGATTCAAGTTTGTTTCCCTTGCACTTCTGGCATGCATGCTGTATTCAGATCTATCAGGTAGCAATACAACAGGTTCACCTTTCTGGTTTCTTGAACTACTCTCAGAACTGATAGAGCTATGAAATGGAAAAGTACAAAATATTAGAGACAAATTTCTTGTTTCTTAGTTGCTAGACTTCCACAGTTGCACAGTGCTGATTTTGTTTACCAATCATGAGGAAAAACCTACAAAATGGTTGACTTTGTTATGTTTGGTCCATTTTGTAATGTCTTGTCCATTTTGTCATGTCCAGTCCATTTTGTAATGTCTAGTCTATTTTGTTAAGTCTAGTTCATTTTGTCGTCTATTTTGTCAAGTCTAGTCCATTTTGTTGTCTATTTTGTAATGTCTGGTCCATTTTTTAATGTCTGGTTCATTTTTTTGTCTATTTTGTCATGTCTGGTACATTTTGCAATGTCTGGTCCATTTTGTAATGTCTGGTCCATTTTGTTGTCTATTTTGTCAGGTCTGGTCCATTTTGTAATGTCTGGTCCATTTTGTAATTTCTGGTCCATTTTGTAATGTCTAGTCTATTTTGTTAAGTCTAGTTCATTTTGTCGTCTATTTTGTCAAGTCTAGTCTATTTTGTTGTCTATTTTGTAATGTCTGGTCCATTTTGTAATGTCTGGTCCATTTTGTTGTCTATTTTGTCATGTCTGGTCCATTTTGTAATGTCTGGTCCATTTTGTTGTC